TTGTTCATTCTTAATAGAAAAATAGGTTGACTGAAATTTCTTTATTTTGTACTTTGGAGACACTGTCTTATTGTTTTCTAGTTAAACAGCATATGCTTTTTTTGGAGGGGAGGGGTGCAGGAACTAGCCAGATTGAGAGGGAATGAGACAAATCACACCCTTTCTCCCTCCAGGGAAGTGGCTGTGCTGAGATTCCTTCTCCATTCTCCTTTTGGGATTTTAGGGACACACACATGCCTGGTGTTTTTTTCAAGTCACCAGGTCTGGGACTCAAACTGCAGAGTCGGCCCTGTAGGATCCAACGCCTTAACCAACATGCCATCTGCTGGCCCAACATATGCTTTTTTTAAAGCATTAGTGAGAAATATTGGTTTAATTTAGAGAAACTTTATTAATTAAAAATAATGACTGTACTACAATATTATCTTTAATCTGGAACCTGTGAATACTTTGTCAACAATCGTTAAGAAGAGTACATATAAGGCTGCTCCTTAACTTACAATGAGATTATCTTGATACACCCATCATAAGATGGAAATCACTCTTAAGACAAAAATGCACTTAATACATCTAACCTATTGAACATAACAGCATAGCCTTGCCTACCTTAAATGTTTAAATGTGCTTAGAACACTTACATTAACCTACAGTTGGGTAAAATATCTAATACAAAGACTACTTTATAATAAAGTATTGAATATCTCATGTGATTTAATGAAAAAATCATGGCCTACAGCAATATGCCCATTGCTTTTATACTATCATACAGCTGAAAATTCATAGGTTGAACCATGGAGACCAGTTAGTAGAAACTCAATAATGTTAAAAATAAATAAATAAATAAGAAAATATGGTTAAAATGGTTATGTAGCCTCTAGATATTGTAGTATTGGCAGTTTTTCTTCATGTTTTTCAGTTTTCCCAACTTTCTTTAATGACCATATATTACTTCAGTAATCAGAAAAGCTACAGCATGTTCATGCTCTACCTGAAAACTGTCACACGAGGGCACCATGCTCCCTACAGGGCTGGTGAGGACTTACTCTCTTACACTCCAACTCCCACTGGGGCTATGACAAGGAAGATGTCCATATGTGCCACCACTGCTTCCACATTACTGTTCCTTCTCCTTTCTCCCAAAACACAGTTTCCTGACAACCCATGCCATCAGATCATACTTTCTACTCTTCATTACCAGTGTTAAAATTCTTGATCATTCCCTTTCAGAAACTGAAGGGTTTAGGAATGGGGCTGTTGTTGCTCCATTCTACCCTGCTCATTATTCTTCATTTAAATATCCATGTAGACAATCTATCTAACACTTGGCCTCTATCTGATGGTCGCATGCTCAGACCCTCTGATCATACCTTAGACCTTAAGACTGCAATTTTGACACCTCAATCTGAACAACCTTTCCTGTTTCTAGATAACATCCCCTAAAACCTCCACTTTTCCTCAAATACAATCTTCAATCCACTGACTCTCTCACTTTTTTTTAAACATGTATCATTACCTTCAAATCTTAATTCTCCACCACTAAAAGTCCTTCCTTGCCCCTTTCTTGCTGTCAGTACTCATCTCACAAAACCCCAAACCTGTTAAATCCAACTGTCTACTCCACAACTTTTATCAAGTAGCTGAACAAGACTGGGGAAAAAAATACAACTGTACTAGTTGTTTTCACTTTAAATTCATGACCACAAACCTCAAAGTGGGCCCAGAGTGCTGCCAGGCAATTGCACTGCTCCTGTTTACAGCAAAGTTTGAAAAGGAGCTGACTATAGTAGTTGCTACTGCTATTTCCTCCCCTCCCATTCTGTCTTAAAGCTACTCTGAGACTTGGATTCTCATCATTCTTCTGAGTGTCTGATCTAAGTTATCAATTATCAGTCCCAGCAGCACTTAACAGTTGACTATTTCTTCCTGTTTGAAAACATTCTTTATGTGGCTTCTGAAATGTGTGCTCAAATCCTTCCACCCATGTCTGCTGGTCATTCTGCTTTACTCTTTTTTGCTAGGAATTGGTTCCTGTTCCCTCCCTTCTCCAGTGCTTAGTCCTCAGACCTTTTCTACTACCATTATTCATTTTTCAGGGCAAATCCACCTAATCTGATGGCTTTACAAAACACATATAGGGTACAAACACCCAAACGTATATCTTCCATCCCAACCTGTTCCTTGAAATCCAGATGTACATCTACAATTATCTGTTCTGTTTACTTGCTCTCCAGCTACACTGCCCCCTCTAACATGACAGGCATGCTTTCTGCCTCAATGTTTATAAAGTTCCTTCAACAAGGAATACTCTTCTGAATAGTCTTAAGTCCCTCTCCTTTACCATTCAAGTCTCTGCTCAAAAGTCATCTTACACAGAGGATATTCCAATCCTTCAAAATAACAGCTCCTTACCCAGCTTCACAGCACTTGTCATTGACTGACATTACATCATCTATAATATTTGCATACTCACTTGCCTTACTGACTGTCTCCCCTGTTAAAAATCTAAGCTCCATGAGCATAGGACATTTGCCTGTTGCTTACTGCCCACACAGCGGGCACTAAAGCATTTATTAAATTACTTTACTATAAAGCACATAATGTCTTCTGTGATCTAGAAAGGGTGGGGTTATGAGAATAATTCAACATATAAATGATCAATTTCAGTAATGACTGAACTTTTTTATAATGGATCACTTTGGTTATCAAGAGAAAAGAACAAATAAAAATGTTAAAGCTAAATGATAATAAAAAGGAATTCAATTATAAGAACTGAAACACTATATATTTATATAAAGCACAGAAAAAAATTAAATAAAGAGGTCAGTAGGATCTAGACAAGGATGTCAAATACCTTCTACCTTGGACACCGATTGTAATTGGCTATTGTTGCCTCTTGAAGCACTATATTAAAAAAAGATCCTGCCA